GTGGCAGAGTTCACGTTTTAGTGAGCCTGCAGTACCAGGTCTGAGCCGGTAGGTGGCAGAGTTCACGTTTTAGTGAGCCTGCAGTACCAGGTCTGAGCCAGTAGGTGGCAGGGTTCACGTTTTAGTGAGCCTGCAGTACCAGGTCTGAGCCAGTAGGTGGCAGGGTTCACGTTTTAATGAGCCTGCAGTACCAGGTCTGAGCCGGTAGGTGGCAGAGTTCACGTTTTAGTGAGCCTGCAGTACCAGGTCTGAGCCGGTAGGTGGCAGAGTTCACGTTTTAGTGAGCCTGCAGTACCAGGTCTGAGCCAGTAGGTGGCAGGGTTCACGTTTTAATGAGCCTGCAGTACCAGGTCTGAGCCAGTAGGTGGCAGGGTTCACGTTTTAATGAGCCTGCAGTACCAGGTCTGAGCCAGTAGGTGGCAGAGTTCACGTTTTAGTGAGCCTGCAGTACCAGGTCTGAGCCAGTAGGTGGCAGGGTTCACGTTTTAATGAGCCTGCAGTACCAGGTCTGAGCCAGTAGGTGGCAGAGTTCACGTTTTAGTGAGCCTGCAGTACCAGGTCTGAGCCAGTAGGTGGCAGAGTTCACGTTTTAGTGAGCCTGCAGTACCAGGTCTGAGCCAGTAGGTGGCAGGGTTCACGTTTTAGTGAGCCTGCAGTACCAGGTCTGAGCCAGTAGGTGGCAGAGTTCACGTTTTAGTGAGCCTGCAGTACCAGGTCGGAGCCGGTAGGTGGCAGAGTTCACGTTTTAGTGAGCCTGCAGTACCAGGTCGGAGCCAGTAGGTGGCAGAGTTCAGCTGGTTAGTGGCAAGGATTGAGGCCCAAACCTTTACTAACAACTTTCAAACAAACAACAGTTATTGGAAGTGAAACAACGTTCGTTGCTGCTTTTTCGTAAACATTCAGAGCATCAACTAATCATCCTAAAATGAACTAGTTTCATTAGAAAATACAGATTTTTCACTTGAGCCTTTTCTCCCACAGCAGTGGCTTGTGGGTAATACCCTTCTAAGTCCGATGCAGACTAGATGACGTCGCCTACGGATCAAGGGTGCAAAGGGGCGTGATCGGCTTCGGGACACCCTACGCACTCGCGCCCCTGGCCGGGATTGCGCAGTTGAAGGGTGCGAGTGTTGGGATTGGCCGTGGACTCCCGAGAATCTGGTAAAACTGACTCAGCACTTCCTGCAGCTTCAGATATTTTCAAATTAAAGGTTTTATTTCATCAAAAAGATGGAATTTAATTCAGTCTGTTTGAAAACCAGGGAAATAACTTCCCCTGCTACCGGGTCGTGTTTCTCACTGTGGTCAGAACCAGTTACCCAGTAAATGGAGGTTCTGATGAGTGGTTAAAGCGGATCAGAACCGAGCCCAGACCCTCTTCCTGTCTGAAGCAGCCGATCTGAATCCTACTGATGTTTCTCTGATGTGAAGTTCAGCTCATTAAAGAGTTTTGGGTCAGACGCTTCAGAGAGAATACCAGAACACGGGCGGGTTCTGCTGGTTCTGCCGGGACCCTGCGGGCCTCCTCGTTGGTATTCTGTCCTTTAAGTGTCTGCGTCTTATCAGTCCTCCTTCGCCTCACTGACCTTCTGTCCTTCTGCTCTGTTGCAGACTCGGATGAATACAGATCAGAACCGGGTCTGGGTCGGTTCTGTCAGCTCCACGCGGCAGAACCGCATCAGCTCAAGAGTCTGAACTACCTTCACTTTATTTAAACACCAAATGAACTCAGAACCTTTGAGGAGATCCTTTACTTCCTGTTTTTATTCTTTCTGACTGAAGTTTTTCTGCGTTTATTATTTTAGTCGCTTCTGCTGAACCGACCCGTTTTATCCTGCTGGACCAGGTAACACACACCTGTCCTGCATCACCTCTAAGCCCCTCCCCCAGGTTTTATATGAATTCCTCCTCTGGTTCAGAAGCAACCAACGTTCTGACCCGTCTGCCTCATCCTTCCTTCTGCTGACTGAGCAGAACCAGGTGTTTTACTCTGAAGGTCTGCAGAGTCCAGAGGAGGTCCAGCCTGAGTTTAAGAGGCGGAGCCTCCTACCTCCTCCTCCTCCTCCGCAGCATCGGGAGTGGCTTAGTGGTTTTCTGCTCCTGGCTGAGCGCTAACAGCTGCTAACTGAGCCTCTCCATCAGCTGACACTTAAATGATCACACATTGTGTTAAAGGCTGACGGAGTCCGAGAACACGCTGCTGCTGAGGAGGAGGTGTGATTACAGGAGGACTACCGCTCTAATTAAATCTATAAAAGCTTCAGAAGCTCAGACGCATATTTGTCACCTGCTGCTCCTGAAGCTTTAAGAGAGAAGATTCCAGATGGATCAGGAGTTTTATCCAAATCTGGGATCGGTCTCCGGTCCTCCTGGATCACCTCTGAGTTCTCCTCAGTGAGGAGCACAGGGAGAGCTGGATGATCAGTAACCAGACTGTCTCCTCCAGCACACCTGGTCTGATTCAGGCTGCTGAGCACCAATCAGAACACCCGGTCACACCTGCATCCCACAGGTAGACCCACCCTCCAGACTCCTGAACCATCACACCTGCAGACGCGATCGGAAAGGAGCCCCACAAGTACCGTCATCATCGTCGGATCCTGGGTCAGCAAAGGTGAGCTGAGAACCCATCAGACCTGGGACCTAACAGATCCCTGCCTCAAACTCAAACCGGAGGAAGAAGCGGCGACCTGAGGAGAAGAGGAGCAGCTGTTCTCCTGCGGGAATGATAAGCTAACGGCTAGTCAGTCTGAGTTGCATGTGGCTTTTAATTCCACTCGTTTGTTTCTGTCTGATTTACTTATTTATTGTAACGACGTCCCCGCTCCGTCGTGTTTCCCAGAACTCACATGGACCCAGAGTTTCTGATGTTCTGGTTCTGAGATGAAGGATCGAGGAGGTGATGCTTCCTCCTGGAGTCCAACAGGAAATGACCTCATCACCAAGGGTCACATGATTCTAGATAGCTGGTAACAAACTCATATTAATAATTAAGTTTTTACGACGATTTTTCACACGAGTTTATTTAAGTTTTACTTTGAAAAGCTTGAATTTTTATCGTTTTACTGCTTTTATTTTTCTTTAATAATTGATAAAAAAAATTTAATCCAGATGTTTGGACTCATTCTTCAGATTTTATCTGAATAATCTTTTCCATCCGACGTGCTTCTTTCAGCTCGGCTCGGATTTCTCCTCCAGCCCGGAGCGTCTCGTCTCGGGATTTATGACAACCTGGAACCGGTTCCCTCTGCTGTCAGAACTCCACAAACACCACAGAAGAAGAGTTTCAGCAGGTTTCTGTTAAACTGCTTCTGCATGAAAGAAAAGGACCAGATGATCTGCAGGTCGAAGTGGGCGGGGTCAGCCAGAACCGATCCAGTGACCCGGTGAGTCACTAAACAGAACCAGAACTTCATCTGTTGTAAGTCACAAAGAAACCTGGAAAAAGAAGCTTATCAGAACCCACCAGCCGGACCATATACACGCTCCTGGACCTAGTCCAGGGCTTAGCGCTGATCCTGGACCAGAACATGGACCTGGTCCAGATCCAGGTCTTAGACCTACACTAGTTTGTTCAGAAGCAGGGCAGCGTGAGGAGGGAAGTGGGCTTAGATTAAAGCTCGTGTGGGATTAAGCAGTGAGCCTCTACAGGGAGTCTAAGTCCCGCCCACCTACTTCCGGACCACGGGTCCCCGGAAGAAGGACAAGAGTCAACGGGGCTCAAAACGCTATTTTCTGATCCCGTCTGTCATGTTCCACGGATTTCACATGTGATGTTCGTGGGTTTTAAACACATTTTTATACCAAGAACTCCAGTATTGTCGGGGGGGGGGGGGGGGGGGGGACGTTAAGATAAGTCCAGGACTACAAATGTGCCTCACCACCGAACCAGACACGGAGGGAAACGGAGGGAAAAGGGCTGTGAGTCCAGCAAACTTCCAATCCTTCCTTCAGGAGCCACCATTCATCTGGTCATGTGGTACGCAGCAGCTACGCTAGGGGGAGGAGATTCTGTGGTGATGTCACACATGCGGCGTGCCGATGTAGTCGTGCTAATTCCGAACTTTTACCAGCTGATAAATATTAAAGTTCGTTAGAGCGCGGTCGAAACGCCATCATTGGTATTCATTTAAGCCGAAGGACAGCGTATGATCCAGGGCCTGAGGCAAAGCTGACCGGGGGGGGGCGAGGCTCCCTATAAACCTGTAAGCTCTCTGATTGGTCAGTGGGATCTGAGAGAGGACTCTGATTGGACCTCCCACCACATTGTTGTGGTTCCAGTTTTGCGCCCGTATGCTCCGGAGCGTTTCTGACCCTGTGAGGAGGTTCATATTGGACTTTGGACATGATGAGGTCATGACTGGATGTGTTTGGGAATGTTGTTTTAGGAGCAGAAATTTCCCACATTAAAACCCAGAGAATTTCTGTGGTTTTCCAACAATGATCTCGTTTCAGTCGGCAGTTGGAGGAGAACAGAAACCTTCTGTGTGTGTGTTTATTCTGCTGACTCGGCGTTTGGGTTGAGTTACGAGTCCGACTGGAACCGGAACGTCGGAGAGAGGAAGGGGTTAAACACTAAAGCAAAAAACGCTGCTGCTGCTCATCAGCACCACAGAACCACTGATGCTGCACCACCGGTTCTATTGATCCAGATCCGCTGAAGGACGCGGATCCAGAGATACAGTGGAGACGTGAGCGCTCCGATGTTCCGATGCTAGCCTACTTCCTGTTTGGTTTAAAACAAAAATAAAAGCAGACCTGCTGCGGCTCAAACTGTAAAACAAGCTTCAGACCTGAGCTTCAGCTTCTCCTCTGCAGATAATTTGTTTACATTTAGATTTGCTTTCATCTCAGATGTTCCCTCCTGTTGGATCACTTCCTGATCAGCCTCTGTTCAGAGAAACTGCGTCAGGATCGATGAGCTAACGGCTAGTCCGAAAACCCGTTTGGACTCTGGTTCATTAAACTCTGGACCCAGGACCAGTTCTGTTTGGACTCACCAGCCGCTGCAGGATCCTCCTGCTCTTGTCGTCCGTGCAGTAGTCAGACATGATGCTCCTGTGGACCAGAACCAGGCCGTTCAGGAACAACCAGGACCCGAACCAGAGCAGGGCAAAGACCAGGGTCCCTCGCCGGGACCAGAGCCTGAGGCCGAGCCACCTGAGCAGGCAGAGGCCTCTGCCGCGACCCCCTCCTCCCGATGGAAGTCCTCCAGAAAGCATGGTGGAGCTGCAACCGGTCCAGAACCAAAAACCCAAATCTTGCCGAGAGCGGGCTCTAGATGTTCAGACGGAGGTCCGGATCCTGGAATGTTGTGAACTTCTCAGATGAGTTTAAAGGATCCTTTAATGCTTCACATGAGAGAAAAGGTTCATGGTTGGGGTTCGGGTCATCCCGGGTCCACTCCCGGTCTCCCGTTATGCGCTGCAGCGGACCGGAACGTCTGCTGGTGATTTATGGAAACATGAAAAATCCGTTTCTGCTGAAAATCCCAAACAGCAGCAGAAGTCTGAGAGCGAGCTGTTTCCGGCTCGGAGCGTCGGAGCGTTCATCGTTGTTCCTCCTCAAATGTTCCTGAAGGTTCTGGTTCCGTGTTCTGGTGGTTCCTGTCCAGATGTCCTCCGTCAGGCAGTCCAGCCAAAACTCATCCTCACACCTTCACACGTTCATCAGACCTTCTGAGACGTTTGAGCAACGACTGAGAGAGAGACGGAGTCCGACTCAGGTTTTTACTTCAAACATCAAAGATGATTAAAACGTCGCTGAATTCATGTTTACTAAAAACGTTCTCGTCTCATCGGGACTCCAACCCCGTAAACATGAAGGGAAACGCAGCAAATGTGCAGAAATGATGAAACTACGTGTTTTAAAGTTCAGATGAGATCAGAGCAAAGCTGCAGAACTTCGTCAAACATCTAAAAACGGCTCCCAGACGTCCGATCTGCTGGGGTCAGAGGTCAGGGTTCAGGGGAGCTCTGGTTCTGTTGATCCGTCTTTAATTGTTTTATTTATTCATGAAAGTTTGTTTTTGTTTTTTTGTCCTGCATCCGGAACTCCTCCTGTGTGATTCTGACCCGGCGGGCCCGGTTCCGCTCTACCGCCGTCTCTAATGAGGTTATTTACATTCATCAGCTGTTAGAAAAAAACTGTAGAAATTATTAAAAATCAGCTTATTAATCACCGATCGTCTCCAGCCTGTTGTTTGTTTGTTTGTTTGTTTGTTTGTTTGTTTGTCTCTGGTGTTTTAGTTCAGGCTGAATCGTTTTGGCGAGTCTGGACCGGACCAGGTGGAGGGTTTGGTCTCTGATCCCGTCCGCCGGCGCTCTTATCCAAACGGTGAAAGGATTACAGTTGAGCTCCCCGCCGCCTCGGAGGCAGGAATGTTTCTAATGGAGAGGCAGGCCGGTTGTTTCCGAGGGAAAACGCAGCGTTTGGAAGATCAGCTGTTGGTTTTAGTCGAGCGGATCGGCGGCGTTCCCGGTGTTTCTGTCCATATTTACCTGCTAAAACTGGGAAAAATCACAAGTGTAAAAACTTTCTTCTCACCAAAGGGAAATCCAGAGTTCCTGAACTTAGAATAAAATTCCTGAATCAGGCTGGAAAAATCATCATTTTTACACAGAGGAGGAAAAATGAAACCTCTGTTTGGCTTCAGGAGGAAAAAACTGAAATCCTGGTCCTGGCTGGGATGTAGCTGGGATCCAGCAGAGAAGCTGGAGGATTTTTCCCCCAGTTGGATTCCGATCAGGTCCATCCTAATCCACAAACTTCTGCTCTAAAAGCACCAGGAACTCCTGGAATCCTCTGATGCATGAAAGCAGGATGAGAACACAGAGGAACCAGAATTAAACTCGGCAGCAGATGAACGCAGGTGACTCAACTTCCCAGGTGAACCTTTGTCCCGTTGCTCAGGGATCAGGAGATCAGGGATCAGCCCGGCGGTTCTGGGTGACTGCTCCTTTTGTGACCCAGAAAAGAGCCGATCGAAGCCGGGTCTTGACAGCAGCTGGAGGAGCAAGTCTCGGAAAAACAGATGCTCCTGAGGACAAACGAGGAATTTCTTTTCCCACCAGGAGAAAATCCAGCTGTCAGCTTTAAACCCCAAGTCTGGACTGACAGGCAGCTCCAGCGGGCGTCTGGTGCCTCAGCAGCTCCTGTTCCTCCTCCTCCTGACGCTCCGCTCCGCACCGCGTGTGTGTGTGTGTGCGTGTGTGTGTGTGTGTGTGTGTGTGTGTGTGTGTGTGTGTGTGTGTGCGTGTGTGTGTGTGTGTGTGTGTGTGTGTGTGTGTGTGTGTGTGTGTGTGTGTGTGTGTGTGTGTGTGTGTGTGAGGGAGGGAGGAGTGTGTGTTGCGCTCAGGCTTGTTCATGCAGCTTTGTTTCTCCTTCAGTTTGCTTCCTTCCCTCAGACTAAAACCTTCTGCAGGAACAAAAAAACTCTGAGATTGTAGACACCCCCCCCCCCCCCCCCCCATTACCATGGCAGCAGGTCTCACTGAACCTCGCCAAATTAAAAGCTCTCCCATGACTTCTGCTATCACACACACATCAATAACGACCCACAGCGTGCTGGTAATCGCTCCGAACGGGTCGATCGGCTCTTCGGGACTGAAAACGCTGCTTGAGCTCCGACCCGCTCTGATCAGGGTGAAGGTTGATTTCCTGGTGTGCTCCTGCTAGAAAACACAAAAACAACAAAAACACCAGAACAGCTTGATTCTGATCGGTTTCCGATGCTGATCGACTTTAAGCTTTATTATTGATTATTGATCAGCAGCTGAGTGGAGATGATGAATGAAATCAGAGGAACTCATTTAGGAGCAGAAACATAAAAAGATGTTTCCCTGCTGTGCAGCTTTATCTCTGGTTACCTTGGTGACCCTGATGAGGCACTGGCAACAGCTTTAACATTTCTGTTGAAAGGTGTAAATAAACCCGACCAAACTTTCTACGTGTTCTACATGAAGGTATTTAATCTCAGATTAGATTCTTCATTATTTCAAACCGGAAACAGATTTTTTATCCGATGATTCCGGAGGTGAATTAGTAATCACCTTTCCTGTTTTGGGTCAGAAACAAAGAGCAGCGCCTGTGGTTGAGGTTCTACTCGTGTCGGTAAACAGAACCAGGTGGATGTCGGAGGATTTAATCTCCCGTCTGTTTCGTCTCTTTTGGCTCCAGAAATGAAAACAGCAAAGAATCGGAGCTGCAGATGAAAGCGAGACTCTCTGAGGTCGAAGGATGGAAACCAGATCAGCTCATTAAACATTTAACTCACTTTTATGTTCTCAGTCTGAAAACAGAAGAAACTTCTGTAGAGATGAGGAGATGGAGATTAAAGGACAGATTAGCTCTGAGATTATTGCTGTGATGAAGAAAACCCCCCGAAACAAACGTCTGAAAGCTGGAACAACTTCTGCCGCGGTTTGGACGGGACGAATCCCGCTCTTCCCTTGAGTAGGAGCCTTCTTCTGCCTGAATGATTCAAAGGTCAAAGGCTCAGCAAACAGAAAGCACCAAAATGTTCTGGTACCAGAAAAACTCCTCAGGTCCAGAAAACCACTGAGAGAGAGAGACTGGATCAGAGGATCTGGACTGGATCAGAGGAGCTGGACTGGATCTGCAGATCTGGACTGGATCAGAGGAGCTGGACTGGATCAGAGGATCTGGATTGGATCAGAGGAGCTGGACTGGATCAGAGGATCTGGATTGGACCAGAGGAGCTGGACTGGATCAGAAGATCTGGATTGGATCAGAGGTTCAGGACTGGATCAGAGGATCTGGATTCTTCCTAACTAATATTTTGGAGATCATCCTTGTTGTCGCCTCCTCACTGAGCAGCAGAACCTGTTCTCCTATAACAGAAACAGAACTGGGTCATGAATTCATGTTGAACACAGAAACCCGAGTCACGGCTGCAGAACAGAACCAGTTCTTCCTCTCCAGCAGAACCTCTGTCCTGTAATTGCCAATTAAATCCTGCAGCAGGTCTCCACAGACCAAGCCAGTCGATGCCAGAGCCTCTCGTTAGCATCCTCTCTGATCCGACCTGCTGCGTTGAAGCGGGCCACGCATCACAACCTCCTCGTTAGCTGCAGCTCGTTACAGGCACCTTTTCATCTCACAGGTGAGCTAATCAGCTGTAAGGATGCAGACTCAGGACTTCCAGCTCGGATGGAGAATGTTGCCGTTCTAATCAGGGACGAGGAGAAAGTGTTGGTTCAGCTGGAATCAGAGGAAAGGGTCAAAACTCGGTACCGGGGTCTGTCTTTTACTTTCTGACTCATGGAGCATCAAACTGAACCTTCAATCAGCTGTTTTATCCTGCAGGGACAAGTGGTGTTGCGGCACCTCCTAGTGGCTGGATGTGGGATTACAGCTTTGGAGACGCGGATGCCAAATTATTATAATTAACATCAAAATGCTGGAATTTAGTTTTAAGCTTCAGACGTTTTTTGTTTTTAAGAGTTTTTGATTTGTTGAGAATTATTAAGAAGCCACATCTGGAGAAACGTTTTCTCAAAAATTAATGTTTAAGAATAAAAATCAACCAGTTTTCTTTCACATTTCTGCTCTAAAATCCACCTAAAGTCATTTTCCACAGTAAAGAACTTTAGTACATAAAATTCCACAGGAATTGAGTTGGACCCATTTATTAAAACATCCATTATTTTATTTACACACAAACACTATTTCTATGTAAGTTTATATTTTAACATGAACTCCTTCCCAAGGTTTGTTGTATTTGAGGTTTTTAATTCTGTAACTGCGGGATCTTTTGATCTAGCCGTGAGCCGGACCAGAACTTTACAGCTTTTTTATGAAGACAACAGTTTGGACCTGTGGGTTTATATTCCTCACCAGGATAAATGAATAATCCTGATTTACTGAGACGTGTGAAAATTTCTGCTCAGATTATCAAATTAAAATCTGACAGAATAAAACTGAGGTCAGAGGTCATGGACCTAACGGCTTCAGTAAAACCTACACCGGTGCTCAGCTTCCTGCTGAAGCTTCACTCTCAAACAGATGAATGGATGAATCCGACACAAAGAGGAGCTGTGCAGACCTGAGACCAGCGTTTTGCTGATCTCCACCTAATCCTCCACACAAACAACTACTGTCGGATCAGCTGATGGAGGCGGATTAACGGGATGAGAGGAGAACCTGCTGACTCAGCACCTTTTCACAGTGAAAACACCTGATGGAGGTCCAGCTTCAGCCTCGGCAGCTGCAAAAAGAAATGTTTACTTTCATAAACGTGAGAATATTTAAATAAAAATAGAAGCTGTTCTTGTTGCACTTTGACCCTTTAACTAAATAAGTGTGTGAAATTACAAAAGTTTATTTTACAGACAAAATAACCTAAATCTTGCCAGTAAACTCATCTGGTAAGACTTCACAACCCCGAGGGAAGATCTGTGAATGTCTCACAGACGATCTGATCATTTCGGCAGATTAAATATTTAGTTTTCCATTCATCCATTTTCATCCGCTTATCCGGAGTCGGGTCGCGGGGCAGCAGCCCAAGTCGAGAGGCCCAGACTTCCCTCTCCCCAGCCACTTGGGCCAGCTCCTCCGGGGGAATTCCAAGGTGTTCCCTGGCCAGGTGGGTGACATAGTCCCTCCACCGTGTCCTGGGTCTACCTTTAGGTCTCCTCCCGGTTGGACGTGTCCAGGAGGCATCCTGACCAGATGCCCGAGCCACCTCAACTAGCTTCTCTCGATGTGGAGGAGCAGCTAATCTACTCCGAGCCTCTCCCAGATGCCTGAGCTTCTCTGAGGGGCAGCCCAGCCACCCTGTGGAGAAAACTCTAGTTTTACAACAGAAAATGTCTTAATTCACCTGAATATTTGTAGTTTTGTTCGCTTTCTTTGAATTGTGTTTATATCCTGAAGTTATGAATAATAAATGTTTTTTTGCAGATGCCTTCATGAATAGCCTCAGTTTGGAGAAACAGATTAGCTTTAACCAGATTGAGGAGATAAAAATCACAAGTTGCTTCACAAGAACAAAAAATATTCAAATATAAAAAAGATTCAAAATATATTATATTGTGATTAAAAAGTGTAAGGAAAGGGAGAGAGAAAATAAATAGGAAAGAGGGAAATCAGTGGATCCCGGGAAAGGCGGCATAAGAGTAGAATAAGGAGAGCAACGAAGGTCGCGCCAAAGCTAGCTTGAATGGGACCAGTTATAAAATGTTTTAACAAGTTCAGAAAAACTTTATGTTGACATTTTCACACCTGAAAAGTCTTCACATCGTGTTATTTTACCCAGAATTATTTGGGTCTAGGCAGCAGAAATTAGCAGCACAGCTAGCTAATGTAGCATTTCTCAATAGAGTCTCAAAATTATGAAATTTTAAATTTTTCACGAACAAAGTAAAGTCTATGGCTAGCCGTTAGCTTCTCTATTCAAGTCACATGCACACGTCTCTCCAAACTAAGGCTGTTCAAGTGTCATCTATTTATGACCATTTTCTCAAAGCCTCACTTTAATGTTAAAAATCTATTTAAAACATGTTTTTCTCATTTATTTTATCCTAATTTCATCCCAAAGAAAAAAGTCTGAAGTTCTTAATCAGAAATGGTGAAAAACACAAAGATGGAAGCGCCACCAGAATCCGCTGTAGATCAGTTTTCCCCCAGGCCTGTAGGGGGCGATGACGCATCCTGATTACCCGTTTCTGATCTTAATCTTACGCAACAAGATGGATCTCAGATGAATCATGAGCTTTAAACTGAAACATGTAGCATTTAACCACTTCACTGCATTCCCAAATCTGATTTTCCACAGTGACACAAACTTAGTTTAACTTTATTTATTTATTTATTCCTCATTTTAAAGCAAATATTCCTAATAAATTTTTATCAGTTTAATAATCGAGGCATCAAGATTCCCATAAGTCCAGAAATCCCAGGAACATGAATGATGAGATTTCTGGAAGATGTTTCTCCAAACTTGCTGGAAACTAGAACTCAGACTAGTCCAGCGTTTCATTTGAGTTTTCACTCGATCTACTCATCTTCGTCCTCGAAGTTCTCCTCGCCGTCATTGGCCGTGGCCTCCTGGTACTGCTGGTACTCCGACACCAGGTCGTTCATGTTGCTCTCTGCCTCTGTGAACTCCATCTCGTCCATCCCTTCTCCGGTGAACCAGTGCAGGAAGGCCTTCCGTCGGAACATGGCTGAAAACTGCTCTGAGAGCCGCTTGAACAGCTCCTGAATTGCTGTGCTGTTCCCGATGAAGGTGGCGGCCATCTTGAGCCCACAGGGGGCGATGTCGCAGACGGCCACCTTCACGTTGTTGGGGATCCACTCCACAAAGTAGCTGCTGTTCTTGTTCTGGATGTTCAGCATCTGCTCATCCACCTCCTTCATGGACATCGGCCCTCGGAACACCGTGGCGACCGTCAGGTAGCGGCCGTGGCGAGGGTCGCAGGCCGCCATCATGTTTTTGGCATCAAACATCTGCTGGGTGAGCTCGGGAACAGTGAGGGCGCGGTACTGCACGCTGCCCCTCGCCGTGAGGGGGGCGAAGCCTGGCATGAAGAAGTGGAGCCTCGGGAATGGCACCATGTTGACGGCCAGCTTTCGGAGGTCGGCATTGAGCTGTCCGGGAAAACGGAGCGAGGTCGTTACTCCGCTCATGGTGGCCGACACCAGGTGGTTTAGGTCGCCATAGGTGGGTGTGGTCAGTTTTAGGGTGCGGAAGCAGATGTCATAAAGGGCCTCGTTGTCGATGCAGTAGGTCTCATCCGTGTTTTCCACCAGCTGGTGGACCGACAGGGTGGCGTTGTACGGCTCCACCACCGTGTCCGACACCTACCGGGTCAAAGAGAACGAGCCGTTAGGAAGCCAAGGGGCCCGAGGCTACAACCTGAACATCAGGACCACACCGCTACCTTAGGGGAAGGCATGACGCTGAAGGTGTTCATGATGCGGTCGGGATACTCCTCACGGATCTTACTGATGAGCAGTGTACCCATCCCAGAACCGGTTCCTCCTCCCAGAGAGTGGGTCAGCTGGAAACCCTGAAGACAGATTCACACGTTTATCCAGAAGTTAGGAAGGATTCTACGTTTTACCTGTGGGTTGCAGGTTAAATTCCTCAGCTGGAGGTTATGGGTGAAAATTTACTATATGACTCAGACAAACCCTTCACAATAAAAGTTCCAGACAGAACATCACCATAGCAACAGACAGCTTGTCCTCTGCAGGACCGAATGCCTGGAGTGTCACGTCTTCGTCCTGCTGACTCGTTTATTTAACAGCAGGAGGAATCCGTGCGAAGGGGGCCACCAACGATCCTGGTAGAACTGATTCTGCTCTGTCGACACTCTGGCTCATCCCTTGAGTTAGGATCCTTTTCTATCTGGGGTCAGAGGTTAGAAGCTAGTAATTTCACCTGCAGACAGTCACAGTGTTCGCACTCCTTCCTCACGATGTCCAGGACTGAGTCCACAAGCTCCGCCCCCTCAGTGTAGTGACCTTTGGCCCAGTTGTTCCCAGCACCTGTCTGACCTACAGACAGTGAAATGTGAGACAGTGACAGATGCCGGCAGATCCGTTCATGACCTGCTGCTGTTAATCAGAACCAAACGTTACCAAAGATGAAGTTATCGGGTCTGAAGAGCTGCCCAAAGGCTCCGGACCGAACACTGTCCATGGTTCCTGGTTCCAGGTCCACCAGCACGGACCGGGGGACATATTTATGAGCTGCACCAACAGAACAGCACTCACTTTATAAACCCAGAATATTATGGAATGTATGACACACACACAAACACTTACAGGAAGCTTCGTTATAGTAGACACTGATCCGGTCCAGCTGCAGAGCCGAGTCACCCACATAGTTCCCCGCTGCGTCGATCCCGTGTTCCTCACTGATCACCTCCCAGAACTAGAAGAGTCACAGCAGGAAAAGAAACCGATCCGGATAAGCTGATGGTGCATTCACTGACCCACACTTCTGTGTCTGACCTTTTGCTAGCTAACGGCTAGTCTGAGCTATCGGCTAATCTGAGCTAATGGCTAGTCTGAGCTATTGGCTAATCTGAGCTAACGGCTAGTCTGAGCTATTGGCTAATCTGAGCTAACGACTAGTCTGAGCTAACAGCTAGTCTGAAAACAACTAATCTCAGCTATCGGCTAGTCTGAGCTAACGGCTAGCTAACAGCTAGTCTGAGCTAACCGCTAGCTAACAGCTAGTCTGAGCTAACCGCTAGCTAACAGCTAGTCTGAGCTAACCGCTAGCTAACAGCTAGTCTGAGCTAACCGCTAGCTAACAGCTAGTCTGAGCTAACCGATAGCTAACAGCTAGTCTGAGCTAACAGCTAGTCTGAGCTAACAGCTAGTCTGAGCTAACAGCTAGCTAACAGCTAGTCTGAGCTAACGGCTAGCTAACAGCTAGTCTGAGCTAACTGATAGCTAACAGCTAGTCTGAGCTAACTGATAGCTAACAGCTAGTCTGAGCTAACTGATAGCTAACAGCTAGTCTGAGCTAACTGATAGCTAACAGCTAGTCTGAGCTAACTGATAGCTAACAGCTAGTCTGAGCTAACTGATAGCTAACAGCTAGTCTGAGCTAACGGCTAGTCTGAGCTATCAGCTAGTCTGAGCTAACGGCTAGTCTGAGCTAACGGCTAGTCTGAGCTAACGGCTAGTCTGCGCTAACGGCTAGTCTGAGCTAACGGCTAGTCTGAGCTAACGGCTAGTCTGCGCTAACGGCTAGTCTGCGCTAACGGCTAGTCTGCGCTAACGGCTAGTCTGCGCTAATGGCTAGTCTGCGCTAATGGCTAGTCTGCGCTAATGGCTAGTCTGCGCTAATGGCTAGTCTGAGCTAATGGCTAGTCTGAGCTATCGGCTAGTCTGAGCTATCGGCTAGTCTGAGCTAAAGGCTAGTCTGAAAACAGCTAGTCTGAGCTATCGGCTAGTCTGAGCTAAGAGCTAGTCTGAGCTAAGAGCTAGTCTGAGCTAAGAGCTAGTCTGAGCTAAGAGCTAGTCTGAGCTAAAGGCTAGTCATCATTCGCCCTAATGTTGCGTTCCAGTTGTCCTCGGAACTCGTTTTCCTGATACAAGTGGGCAGAAATGATGCAATGAGCTCAGAATTCCGAGCTGTGAGCTCATGGCTGCTGCTAAAGTTATACGGTTAAAGTGACACCACTTTATGAATGACAAATGACCCGTACTTGACTCTAAAGCCTTTTACACTACAGTGTCTCATTCATCCATTCACACGCTGGTGGTGATGAGCTACGATGTAGCCACAGCTTCCCGGGGGCGGGCTGGCACCGCCAGATACAGAGTTAGCAGAAATTCATCCAGAGAATAATCTGCTGTGGACCTCCGTGGGCTCAGACTGAATTCTGACTCGTTCTGAGAGGTTCTTTGTGCTTCTGGACTCAGAACCCATCTGAAAGAACGCCTGTAGAACATCAGCTGAGTGGAGCAAGGGAGAGAACAAGTACAGAAGCCCAGATGTCTAAATGTTAAAACACTTCTAAACACGTTCAGCAGGTGTGTGCGTGTGCGTGTGCGCGCGTGTGTGTGTGTCAGCTTCAGCTGTAACAGATGCAGACGTTTCCTTTAATCTGAACATGAAATTTAATTCTGATTTGTTGCCAAAAGGAAATGGGGGTGGGTGATGATGTTTTTGCCTCTGGGCGGTATTCCCAAACATCTCCAGGAAAAATCGGAGCAATTTCAGTGAAACACAGACAGGAAGCCCCATGACAGCGGAGTCCAGCTGATGATGGACGCCACAGCTGATCACAATCAGCAAACAAACAATGAAGCTGAGCTGGTTTATGTCCGAGAGTGGTTCAGGTCACACACACTTAGGTCACACACTCAGGATTAAATCTATAAATTCATCATTTCACATTTTAACTCTCAGAATTAAAATATTTCATTTCCTGTTTTGGGTTTTCACTTAAGAAGCTACAAGCAAACAAAACTAAACCCGGTTTAACAGCTGACCTGGGTCTTCACTCAGGTCTACCCTAAACCGAACGGAACCAGAAAGTTCTACAGAGCAAAGTTGGATCTGGTTCCTGTGTGTGGTTCTGACCCGGTCCGTACCTTGGTTCCGATCTGGTTCCCGCACTGACCCGCTTGGATGTGGACTATCTCCCTCATGGTGCTCCGCTGCTCCGAGTCTGTGGCGCTCCCTCAGCGTGCGCGACTTCATGCGCTCTTCCCATCGACGTTAATATAGGCTCTGCCACTGACACGCGCACACACGTGACTCTGTATGGAAAGCCGAACGTGACAAAAATAGCCACTTTTTACAATTTGTAAAGAAGTCCTAACAATATAATTGAGTAATTCCGTCTGAGCTGGTCTGGTCACGTGACTCGTGTCATAAACACGCAGCTGGGCCTTAACGGAGCTGCAGCGGAGACTCAGAGGGCAGATTTTTTTATTATTACTATCTGTCATGGAAACGGAGGAAGTTGATTAAAGGATCCAAGATGCAGGAATGTCAGGAAGCAGCCAGGTAGTTTCAGAAATCCCAAAGATCGTTTTAAAGGCTGTGGCAGGAGCAGCAACACACGATGATCAAAAACACGCCAAGGCGTTCTCACACAAGGAACCGACAGAGAGACAAGACCAGGTGGGTATTCCAGAAAGCGAGATATTCCCCAAACCAGGCTTTCTTGTGAGATTCCTGGTGTAACCTCTCCTAAATCTGTTCTATGACCGTGGCTATCCTGAAGCCCCTCCCAGTCACCATGGTAACACTGGCTGGAGAACAAATCTTCTCAGTGGCGGCTAGCAGCTAGGCTAACGGAAGCTTTGAGAATATGATTGGACGAGGCAAGTGACGTCACCCTTTCTTGTGGCAGGCAGCTACGAGGTGGGGAATTAGCGCCACCGCTGGCCCACGGCGGTAGCAGCAGCTTTTTTTGGGTTTAAGCATGAGCTCTGACTGGATTTACATCTTTGTTGTGTTTAATCTTCATTTGCAGCGTTTGATTCCGCTGATGTCAGCATTATTAATACTATAATTATATCAGCTTTAGTCTGGGATGGGCCCGTATCATCAACACGCTGCCTCTTTATGTTACTGTAACAGCCTTAAACTAGCTTACAGCTGCTACCGTAATACATGTAAAAGGAGATACTTTGTTGGTGTGATTATATATCCTCTGGTCACACGAGTCAAACACGCTAATATCCGATTTTAAATGATATGCGTGATGTTTTTCCCTCGGTGAGTAACATGAGAGCTAAACGGTTTACTGCGTTAACTTTAGGGTCATGTGACCATTAAAACTCACAGCTGCTCTTACTAGGCCAATCAGGGATTATCTAAAGATCCCTGATGATAAACTCACTTTCTGGAATACCGCCCTGAACTGAGAACTCTGGAAAATAGAAGATAAGTAAACACTTCATCTAAATAAATGATAACCGAGAGCACAAAAGATGAATACTAGAAAAGCTAAAGGCAGGAGGAAATGTAAATACTGAGGAGATGGTGCTAATTATGGTGAGACTAACATGGTGGGCAGAAGAGGGAACACGGAGGAGACACGGGAGGCATTATTATTATTATTATTATTATTATTATTATTATTGTTATTATTATTATTATTATTATTATTATTGTTATTATTATTATTATTACTGCTGCTATTTAATCTCCATCAGCAGCTGAACTTGACTTATGATGCAGATTTTGTTATTTGTTGTATATTTGATATATTTGCTGAGTATTTTTGCCACCTTCCTCTTTCACAAAATGAACATTTATGAAACTTTTCTCAGAAGTTATAATAAATACAACATTTCATCCAATAAGAACAGATCGTCTCTCCTGTTTCCTGCAGGCCGGAGCTCCTTCTGAGCAGCAGCATCTGCAGTGTCGATTCTACTCCAGCTGAGTACATTTCACTCTAATAGAGAGTACTCTGAAAAAGAGTACATGTGGTCCCATGGACTCTCGCCCCCTTTTCCCGTGGGCAGGTTTAAAAAGTAGGCTAACCATTTTGGCCTCTTCGGCTTGCCCATGCCACGCCCTGATCATGCAAGTGTGTGGGAATGAGGCACCACTGGATTCCTGTTGGACTCTGTCAGCAGAAAATAAGGAAAAAAAACTTTCATGATGATTTAGGTGAGAAAATGAAACCTTCAAAATAAAAGTCCTGATTAGAAGTTTCTTTATTCGCTGATAGAAATAAATTCACCTGAGAGTTTGTAAATCTGAGCCTCGGGTCTCAGAAATGTGACCCAAATGTAGAAAACCATCATTAGTTTTCTCCTGATAGATGAAACCGGACCGAAGACCTTCTCACTGACCAGAAGCGGTTCAGAGGAAGGGAGAGCAGCAGAACCATCAGAGGTTCTGACCCACTTCAGCTGCTGTGGAGCTCCGGGGTGTCCGGTTGCATCCCGCTGATAGGAATAAACCAGGAATATGTCTCAGATCCAGAAACTTCTGCTGCTTCAGGAGGACTTTCCCTCTTCAGAACCAGAACATTTTTATTTTTAAGCCAAAAGAAAACTGAAGTTTTCAGGTTTTTAAAACATTTGAACTGAATCTGAAAGTTTAAAGAACAGAACCCAATCCAACCAGAACCAGAACCAGTGTCTACACAGGCTGCTGCGACTGCATGGTTCTGGTAAACGCTGACACAGCTCTGGCTCATCCCTTGAGTTAGGAGCATGGACGTAGTTTTGAGGGGGGACAAGGGGGACGTGTCCCCTGCCCTTTTTACCGTCCAAAAGCAACATTACGCTGCGCTGACTGGACACTGGTTGAGCTCTAGGACCACGCGGAAAACAACCGCTTGTGTTGAAGCCCTTTCCCATTAGACCTGCCCACAAGCTCATCTATTGGCTCTGCTGATACTTGCTAACGTGTGATTGGCCGTTCCTGCCCCCTGTGTACTTAGTTCTGCATTCCCGACATTGTATTAAAGCGTCGTGGTTCTTTCTTTTGGAATGTGCTTGACCCACATGAACGCTCAGGAGACCAGGAGATGTAGGAATACAAGAGAGGGTAAAAGCGGGTTTGGTTCCTGTGGATTAAATAAAGTTTCAGACGAATTTAAGATTTTTACACAAATAAAACCAATAGAACAAAAACCTGTGAAACAAATAAACCGACTCTGACTCCGGATCGTCTGAGTCTGCAACAGAAAACGAACCAAGAAAAGATGAAAATACTTTATTCATCAATCTGATTTTCTTTAATCTCAAACAATAAACATAAACGTTTACAAGCGTCAACAAATCTAATCTAAAATTGTGACAGCCTTCATGCAGAAAAACAAAAAACCCAGGTCCGAATCGGATCAATCTGGATTTTCTACCGAGTCTCACACACAGCCAGAACCGAGTCGTTTGTAGGAGCCATATGTGTCATTTCTTTTTGTGCACTTGAGAGGAGGCTTGGCCTCATGCTATTGGTTAATTGCTTGTGGAAGCACCAGCCTACTTAAGCCAACACAGAATGGACTCAGGTGTGGCTGGATGGGACAAACAGTTTTTTACTGTGTGGCGAGGACTGTGGCTGTATGTAACGGACTCTGCGGACTGTCATTGGGGCAAGTAAGGCATTCACTGAAACCCACTTTAACTGCTGTAAATGGATCCTGGACATTTTGGAACAAGACATCATAATGAACATCATCAGAAATAAACTCAAGCTGCATTTCTTAAAGCACACGTAAAGACCACCCGCAACAGCTACCAGGTAGTGCCAGTGTATAGGGCACTGGTGCTACACTTCATCGTTAATAAAAATCTGTTTATTTAACTCGACTCGTGTGAAAAAAAAAACACAGGAGAGACGAAGATGTGCAGAGCAGCAGCTGCCCATTGAGCCGGGTCAGACAGGAGACGCAGCGCAGCACGGACCTACACACACACATATAAACACACACATATAAACACACACACACATATACCAGGTATTGAGTCGTCCTGAAAAGCCGTTACGCTCGGGCAAAGCCAAAATCGAAGTCAAGGGCCGGACTAAGGTCAATCCAAAAGTCAATCCGAATCTAGAACATGCTAACGAACGAAGTTAAACACAAGGGTACCACGAGGAGAAGAGAAAAGAGTGAACACCTCCGTGTCCACACCTTCTATGGAGCTAGGATTGGGACAATATTCAGCGTAACTTGTACCAAGTTTTGTAACTTCGAACGTGTTTCATCACATGTAACTTTAGTTTTCTAACTTGTAATTCTCAATTCGTACTTGTATTTCTTGTTTTGTAACAGGAATGTTGTATTTTGTACATGTATTTTTTTATTTTGTAACATCAAACATTCATTCAGATACATGAAACTTTCGTTTTGTAACTAGCAGACTTCCAAATTGAAAAAAATCAATGTACAAGTTTGAAATCAAAACTCTCAAAACACACATTTCATTCTACAGGTACAACCCTGAAATCTACAGTTACGGATCTTTTTGTCTCGATTCTAGCGTCAGTGGGAGGAACTTGGGTGGAACCAATGAGAGCACGAGTCTTAGCTACCAATCACGTTTCTCAAATTCCTGTCCAATCATTGGGAGAGGAGGGCAGGGTTCTGGTTCTGTCAGAGCTGTAGAGAGTTACGACACGGAAAGCGGGAGTCACGTGGTTCATGTAGCTTTGAATAGTTCCAAACAGCCCTGCTGCTGCATTGACCGTAGTTCATTTTCGGTGTTTCGGAAGGATTTTCTCCGGTAAGTTGATGAAATGTCATCATTTTGTTGCGTTGTGAAGCGTTAGCTAACCGCTTCGTACCAAAATAAGCCAACGATGATATTTTATGTTGCCAGTTTCAGCTAGATAACCTTTAATGAGCTAACTGTGTGCAGCTTGTTGGTTGTGAGCAGGAGGACGAGCTGTAGACGGGTTTCTTTCAGTTTGTTTGATTCTACATTTTAGAAATATTCCCCACAGTTTGAAATAGGTTATAAACTTTTTACATTATTAGTTTTATTTGGGATTTTTTGTACAATACGTTGCTGTATCAACACGAACATGCATCAGAAATGGAAGCACAAATGGAGAGACCATGAATAAAGAAAATGTGATTGTGAAGACAAGTAATTATTTAATTTTTTTCAGTTAACACTGACTACAACGAACTGCTGAAGCATGAGACAAACAGGATTACAAACATAAGAAGATATGTTGTTCTGTTTTGTGGACTCAAGTAATAAGAATAAAATTAAGATAATTCAAGAACAGTCGAACAATAACTTTTAAAAATTAGACATTTTCCATAAAAC